ATTCAATAGCATAGAACTCAATGCATTCATAATCAATTATTTTTCAGCTGACTGCAGTCAACAGCTACCTGGATTTATCCATCGTCTACGGCAACAATGACCAAGTGAACCAGCAGGTGCGACTTTTCCAAGGAGGGCGTTTGATCAGCGAGCAGAGAAACAGCCAGGAGTGGCTGCCTAGGAACCCAAATGCTACCGGAGCCTGCACGTTGCTCGACATCAACGAGCCTTGCTACTTGGCAGGTCAGCCACCCTTAACTCCCCTAGTTCTCCTGAGGCATCGAAGATTTTTCAGGGGACACCAGAGTGAATCAGAACCCGCAACTCACAGTGCTGCAGACGTTGCTCCTGAGAGAGCATAACAGAATTGCCAGCGTTTTGGCCTCAATTAATCCTCACTGGGACGACGAGACCATCTTCCAAGAAGCCAGGAAGATCAACATTGGGCAACACCAGCAGATCTCGTACTATGAATGGTTGCCGATCTTCATAGGCCTGGACAATTCCCTGAAGAACAAAATCCTTTGGAGGACTCAAGGATACGTGGACGACTATGACCCAACTGTGAACCCCTCCGTCCTCAATGAGCACGCCAATGCAGCCTTTAGATTCTTCCACACTTTGATTGCTGGACAGTTGGAGTAAGTTACTTAAGGGGAGGTTTCCCAGGTCGTTTTTTACGTGTTTTTTTTCAGTTTGGTGAGTGAAAGGAGGAACAGCTACGGAAATATCAGGATCAGCGACTGGTTCAACCGACCAGCCATTCTGGAACAGGGCAACTCGTTTGATGAGCTCACCAGAGGTTTGGGGACTCAGCCTGAGCTGGCTGCTGATGCCTATCACGATAGAGAGGTGGGAGTTTGTGTAGCATTAAATGCAGAACAAATGGACGGTTGGATTTTAGATCACACTCAACTGGTTGAGGCAACCTGGCCAGCCCCTAGGGCAGGATCTGAAGGCGATTTGCATCCAGCGAAACAGAGACCATGGCCTGGCTTCTTATAACGACTACAGGAGCTTCTGTGGGCTGCCGAAGGCTTCCTCCTTCCAAGACTTCCTGGACGTTATTTCCAGAGACGTGAGTCATAATGGAATTAGCGCAGTTCTGCAGAGAGACCTGGATAAATGTTTCAGAACGTTGAGCGCCTTGCCACTCTTTATGAGCACCCGGACGATGTGGACCTCACTGTGGGAGGATCTCTGGAAACAATTATTCCTGGCACGCTGGCCGGGCCCACTTTCCTCTGCATCCTCACGGAGCAATTCTACCGAACAAGAGTGGGCGATCGGTTTTGGTTTGAAAATTCTGGAGAAACTGGTAAGGTTGGACATGTTTGGATAAAGAGGGATTTGCAGGTATTTGCTCTGTTCAGGTTTCACTCAGCAGCAACTGGCCGAGATCAGAAAGTCCTCGATTGCCAGGATAATGTGCGATAATGGAAGGGGCGTTCGGGCTATGCAACCAAGGGCTTTTGAGAGAATATCGCAATCGTAAGTTTTCCTCTTTGGATTTGGACCAAAAATGAATTTGAAAGATGCTGGATAGGAGTTTTTTTTATTTGAAATGAGGCTCTTTTGCATGAAGCTTTTGTGATGTTGGAAAAAGTTCTTTGAATCTCTCTTTCTGGCTACAACTTTATTTTCAATCTTCAACCAAACGTTGTCTTTTACCAAATTTAAAGTCAATATTGTTACTTTGCGGTTTATGTTTAATTTTACTGTCGTAATTTTTTTGCTGTGTGTAATTTGGTAAAAAAATATTTGTGCGGGTATTTTTAAATTCAGGCGATTGTTTATGCAAACCGTTTAGTCATTGTGTAAATGTTTTTTCCGTTTATTGAATTTTGTTTTCCACCATTTCTTTGATGGAAACCAAGCAAACGTATTTTGTTAAAGAAACAAAAATGTGGCTGGTATATTTGGATGATGATTTGTTCCTTTTAACAGCCACTTCTTCATTTCTGTTCTCCAACTTTTTTTATATTGTGCTCAAGTTTTTTTTAATGAAACTTTATTGTTATCTAGGAATGCTGTTGTGCCATGCGAAGCCCTTCCAGTGGTCGACCTGTCCTTATGGAAGGACTTGAAAGGTGGAAGCTCCCACATACCCTCAGCCGGATTTGGAACATCAGATTATTACTTTAAAAAGTAGTTTCCCTTCGAGTTAAGGGCGTTTGCAGAAAACTTAGACACTAAGGATGGTGACTATTTAGAGCGAGTAGAGCAATTTGCTGCCTTAGAAAGTCTGTAGAGTAGAACACCATTAAGAGATGTTGTCTCCAAGCTTCCATTCTTCTTTCGATTGAAAAACGCCATTATTTCTACTATTTCCATGCCCAGAAATTAACGCATATCTTCTAGTTCATTACATATCGCATGATAAGTACTTCTAATACAATTTAGCCTCATAGTGATAATTTTTATACAAGATTAGCGCCTATTCCTACTTAGTCTTAGCTGGAATTGAATGCATTATCTACAATAGACGCCTCTGTTTGCTCTCTCAAATCCGCAATCATTATTTATCTTAGATAATTGATATGTAAATAATATGCCTTGTTTATAATTTATCGTGAGTTGTACATATACGTAAACAGAAATGGTTTGAATGTGCTAAGATTAACGTGTAAGAGTTTGTTTTAAATAAATAGACCTTCCGTAATAATTTGTCTGTTATTCCTAATAAATAACCCACTTGGATTTAAGTTGATTTCCTCACTGCAAACACCCGAAATTTCGCAAAACATGATCGAAAATATATGAAGTGAATGTTTATAGAAAACGCACAAATACTGGGCGAAAAACGGAATTTTTCAAGCTTATTTGAAACCCATCACCTATTACAAGAAATCAACCAATCAAATATTTGATTGGTTGGAAATGTTTGGATCAAATTCCTTTGGACAACACTAAAATCATCTATTGTTTCTTGTGCAGATACCTTTTCAAAACCCATTTTAATAAGAAGCTAAGATTTGTCCAGAATCAGTGACTAAAAACAAATCATCAGACCGTAAGTGGCTGAACTGGAATGTGCAGATCATCTCAAGATTTGAATAAAACATCTACAATTTGCCATCGAGTCTACTCCAATCGAGATAAAACCCTCAAGTGTCTTAGATATTGTACTGAGACGTAAAAGTCTTTGTTGTCCTCATGTAGTTTGTGAAAAGTTTCGATAGAATCAGCTAAGCTAACAAATTAGCCAGTGGGGAAGCAAAAATGGAAAACGCCACTCTTCCAACTCTGTACGAATACTACACAAGTGGAGGTATTCAATCGGGCTTAAATGCCGACCAAAACTACTTCACGCTGAATGAAAGGAATATTACTTTGTATTCGGGTGCCATGCATTATTTTCGAACCCCCAAGCAACTGTGGAGGGACCGACTTCGAAAAATGAGGGCAGCCGGATTAAACACCGTTGAAACCTACGTTGCTTGGAATCTGCACGAACCCACCCCAGGTGAGGAAATTCAAAGAATTGAGTAAATCCTCACTCGTGAACCACTAGGTAATTTCGACTTTGGTGAGGGAGGAACGGATATGGAAGACTTTCTGGATTTGGAGACGTTCCTTAAAACCGCCCAAGAAGAAGACCTTCTTGCTATTGTCAGACCTGGACCGTACATCTGTGCCGAGTGGGAATTTGGAGGGTTTCCTAGCTGGCTGCTCAGAACTGAGGACATCAAATTCAGGACATCCGACGCGATCTATATGGCAGCGGTAAAGCGGTGAAGGGAGCCAAACAAGAACCCTATTGCCCAGGATTAAAAGAACGTTTGTAGGTTTTTCAATGCTCTACTCCCCATCCTCGCCGCCCTCCAATTCGTCAATGGAGGCCCGATTATCAGTGTGCAAGTTGAGAATGAGTACGGCAGCACCAGTTCAAGCACCTTTACTCCAGAGAAACAGTACCTGAAAGAACTGAGGCAAATTTACCTGGACAATCACATAACGGCCCTCCTCACAACTGCTGATGGGGTGGATTCGTTTGGGGATGCTGGCACTGATCCCGAGCTGTTTTTGGTCACTGCCAACTTTGGAGGTGATTTTCTTTGGTCGATTATCATTTATTCACTTTTGATGGTTGGTTTGCAGGGGATCCAACAACGTCCTTTGATATTTTGGAGCAAATGCAGCCAGGCCGGCCGAAAATGGCTATGGAATACTATCCAGGCTGGTTTGACCATTGGGGAGATGGACACTCAACCGGCTCAGCAGTGAATCTATTGGAAAACTTGGTGAAAATCATCGCCTATCCTGGCTCTTTTAACATGTACATGTTCCATGGAGGCACCAGCTTCGGCTTCCTCAACGGCGCCAATGTGGACAATGACCTGCCGAATAACAGCGGATTTTTGCCTGGTAAGTTTCAGCTGCTGCTGCCAAGTGGAATAAGCTGGAGGTTGATTCCAGATACAACTAGTTACGATTACGATGCGCCACTTACGGAAGCGGGAGATTATACGCTGAAGTACCAGCTAGTGAAAATTTTGTTGCGTACCGTTGCAACTCCTAAAACACAGTTGCCAGATCCACCTGCCCTGATACCTAGAGTGGCCTATTCTGATGTTCCAATTGAGCAGTTTATGCCCCTAAAAACTCTCATAGGTATGAAGGTGGACTCAGAATGGGGAACACCTGTTTACTATTATCTTTGGTGCTCATTTAAGATTCTCAGAACATCAAACCAAACCATCCACATCCCATTGCAATGGAGCTCGTGGATATCAACAATGGCAGCGGGCAGAGCTATGGATACTTGACCTACAGGAAGGAAAATCTGAATTTGCCAGCTGGCGCCATCCTGACCTTAACATCATACGTTTACGACTCAGTGCTGGTAAAGCAGGTGCATTTTCGCAAAAACTTTCACTCAATTCTGAGTCTGTAGGTTTTGGTGAACGGGCGCCAAATTGCACCGCCCCTCAAAACAGCTGCCGATCTCAACAGTTTCGGCTTCTACAAGCTGGAGGAGTCTGAAATTACCTTAACTGACTCAGATCTTACCAACGCCACCATTGATCTGGTGGTGGAGAACTGGGGGAGAGTGAACTATGGAAAATTGTCCCAATATTACCAATTCAAAGGTAAGAGAAGTTGATTCACTTGCGTAGTTCTAGGAATTGTTTCCAGGGTTGTGGCAAGGCGATATATTGATCAATGGGGAATTGGTGCTTAATTGGCAGCACATTCCTCTGGAGTTTAAGCGGAGTTGGACTCAGAACCTTGCCGGGTGGCAGGATGAAGGCATTTCAAGTTCTGGCTTATATCGAGGTTGGTCTGGCAGGAACCAGGTTTTTTAGGAGGATGAAATGTATTTGTAAATAGGCTATTTGGAGCTGGAGGCTGCGCCTGAAGACACCTACATAGACATGAGGGTGTGGACTAAAGGCATCGTAATGGTCAACGGATTTGTTCTGGGGCGATATGCCAGAATTGGACCTCAGCAGTGCCTCTATTTGCCAGCTCCGTTTCTTCAACAAGGGAGGAACGAGATCGTGATTTTTGAACATTACGAAGCTGCTGATTCAGTGCGGTTTTCCACCGATCAGATTTGGGAAAATTATGATTATTTTAAATCCCACAAGAGGTTTCACCTTAGTTGATTGGATTGTTGTGAAAAAACTGAAAATAAATCGTTTAAAAATTGAGAGAGTCCTCTATATGTTGGTTTTCTTCCCAAATTTCAGTGTTTCATTGGTGAGGGGACTGAAAATGTTGAACTTTTCAGATTCTTCAATTTTGTTTAAAAAAATCACTAACTTTTAGATGGGAGTGATTTCCATTCTCTTCTATTGAGCAGTGATGGATGTTTGCACATTTCAATGAAATTTTCACTTGAAGTAGATATTGGGTTGATTTTTAAAAAAACTGAAAATTTTCTCAAAATGTTTTAAATTTTACATCATTTTCAGCTCACTGACGGAATAAATGCATCGAACTCATTGAAAAACATGCACGAAGTTTTCAGAGTTTTACGAATAGAAATCAGATGGGGCTAGAAAAGGCTTCAAACAGAAACCCAATCGCTCTAAGCAATCAGAATTTATCCACTTCCAAATGAAGGGCAAATTTGGGTGCGGAACGTTCATTTTGTTAAGCAGATCATTGTTAGAGAATTGAAGAACTGAGAAGTGCAAATTGTTGTACTTTATCAGTCATTTTTCCATAAATTGGACCTATTTTTGTGAAAGATTTATTGCGTAAACCTCTTTTCTTGGATTTGAAAGAGCGAAATCTTCTCATCAAAATTTCGAAAAAACATCCCTTTGAACACTTGAGCTAATTCCCTTCTTTCTTGTTCTGTTGCATACAAAAAAGCGAAAGCTCCCAAAGTTTCTTCTCCACTTGAAAAACTCACATCCACTTTAGACATTCGTCGTTGGCTTTATGTTGGTACGCATCTGGTCAGAGCCATTAAACTAAATTGCCCAAATTAACAAGGCGGCAGTCTTGGGCCAGACGTTTAGAATAACAGTTCATTTCATGGATTTCATCAAAAAAATTCGAGAAAATCCCCATCCTTTTGTGATTGCAGAAATAGGCCAAAACCATCAAGGCGATCTTCACATTGCCAAGCAGCTGATTAAGGTGGCAAAGGTAAGTGGCTTTTCAAAAACCCACTCAGAGGGTTTGCATTTATCGAAGACATGGTAGGAATGTGGAGCAGACTGTGCAAAATTTCAAAAAACTTGCCCCAAAGAGAAGTTTACAAGTTCAGCACTGAACAGGCCCTATCCAGGCGCAAACTCTTGGGGCCGAACCTATGGAGAACACAAGGAATTTTTGGAGTTTTCCGAAAAAGAATTTGAAGAACTTCAAGCGTATGCCGGATCAATTGGAATACTATTCACAGCCTCGGCTATGGATGAGGAATCTTTGCGGTTCCTCCAAAGCATCCAGGTGCCATTCATCAAGATAGGCTCAGGCGACTCAAACAACCCATTTCTCATTGAAAAAGCTGCCCAAACTGGGATTCCTCTAATAATCTCAACAGGTAGAATTTGAACGATTCTTTGGCCTTTTAACTTAGTCCAGTTCCAGGGATGATTGATTTGGAAACCGTCCAGAAAATCCATGGTTTGGTTTCAAAGCACCACAAAAACTTCGCCCTGTTGCAATGCGTGTCCTCATATCCAACCCCTTGTGAGGACATCAATCTGCAAGTCATCAGTCTTCTGCAGAAATCTTTTCCAGACACTCTCATTGGTTATTCTGGGCATGAGTTGGGGATTCACTTGAGTGTGGCTGCTGTCGCTTTAGGAGCCAAGGTAAAAAGCAGCAAATTATTTTCCAAGCCTCTTAGAAGAACAATCTTTAGATAATTGAACGCCACATTACGTTGGATAAAACCCTGAAAGGTTCGGACCATAAATGCTCCTTGGAACCCCTGGAACTGAAAGCCATGATAGAGCAAATGAGGACTCTACAGCTGGCTCTGGGCAAACCGATCAAGAAAACGGAGCCATCGGAAGAGCCCTGCTTTGAGAAACTAGGCAAGAGCTTGGTGTATGCACGAAAATTGTCCTGTGGGCACCCAGTGAGTCTGCAGGACTTAAAAATCAAAGTTTCCAGCCCTAAAGGGCTGGACGGTTGGAAGTATCTGGACGTTTTAGAGCGGCGCTTGAACTGCGACGTTGATGAGGAGGATCCAGTGCTTTGGAGGCATTTTCTTCCCAATTTATAGCAATTTGGCAGGCAGAATTCTTAAAACTCCTGCAGTCATCCGCGCCACTGGATAGCAGTAAAAATACACAGCACGTTCACATGCGCGATTATTCAAATATAAGAACAAGTTTAGATAGTGTTTTTTTTTATAAGGCTACAGCAACTCGTAAAGCTCGTCGTCTAAATTGAATAATATTAAACAGGTCATCAACCAATTAGTTTAATTTTTATACCAGGGCAAAATAAAACGTATAAGAAATTACACAGTAAAGCGGTTGAAATTTGCTCAAAAATGACCTCTTCACAGTTTCATGTAAGTTGAAAGTAGGCATCCACAAGGAAAAAATGTCTTGGACAAATATCCACCACCTCCGATGTGGATTCTCCTTCTCCAAAACACTTTGAAAAGTTGCATACTTGATCAGTTTCCCGTTGTATTAACCTTTCTTCATAGCACTGGTAAAAACTAATCAACTGTAGTAAACATTGAAGAAATCAAGCTTCAATTGATTAATCAACCAACCAGATTTTCATTATAGAAAAAGCGTGGCTCGAACGTAAATATAATTAATTATGATCAACAAAAGCTCTTTTTCGATAAAATTCAAATGGTTTTGTTTAAATATAGCCTTGGTGTCAGTGTTCCTATCATTCACCCGCTGTGGTTTATCGATGAGCATTTCACATAGCTGGTGGTTCAGTTCCAGTTTAAAATCTTTATCTATTCGGGTTCGAAAACAGTGAAAACAGAGTAAGTATGTCGATTAAAATTCCCAAACTGGGTAACTGAACGAAATACTGCAGTTCGGTTTAGATTGTTTAAATGGTGATGGAAATATCAGCAAGCGGGGTGGCACAGCCCACTTTACCCACCCTGTATGAGTATTACACAACCGGAGGGATAAAATCGGGGCTAAACGCCGGCCAAAGCTACTTTACTCTGAACGAGAGGAACATTTCGCTTTACTCCGGAGCAATGCACTACTTCCGCACTCCTAAGCAGCTCTGGAGGGACCGACTGCGGAAAATGAGGGCTGCAGGATTAAATGCGGTGGAAACTTACGTTCCTTGGAACCTTCACGAGCCAACCCCCGGTACTAAATAGTCTTCAAACCTTTAAAGTTTTAGCTGATGTTTTTGTCCTCAAAGGCCAGTTTGACTTTGGTAGTGGCGGAAGCGACATGCAAGACTTTTTGGACATTGAAACCTTCCTCAAAACTGCTCAGGAGGAAGACCTGCTGGCGATTTTACGGCCTGGCCCGTATATTTGCGCTGAATGGGAGTTTGGCGGGTTCCCCAGCTGGTTGTTGAGGGGAGATCCTCCAGTAAAATTCCGAACTTCTGATCCCCATTACATGAATCCAGTTAAAAGGTGTTCAGTTGAGAAAAATCCTAGTCTTTTGGCAAATGCAAAGTTGCAGGTTTTTCAATGCGCTTCTCCCCATACTAGCAGCCCTCCAGTTTATAAACGGCGGCCCGATTGTAGCCTTTCAAGTGGAAAATGAGTATGGAAGCACGCAGTCCAGCACGTTTAAACCGGATAGGAAGTACTTAAGACAACTCAGGCAGCTTTATCTGAGCAACAATATCACTGAGCTGCTGGTGACGGCTGATGGTGTTTCCGCCCATAAAGCTGCAGGAACTCTTCCAGAGTTTTTCTTGGTGACGGCGAACTTTGGCGGTAAGCCGCCCTCAAAGCACTGGGTGGCCCTTTGAAGGGGGTTGGGTTTTTTAGGGAATCCCAGAAGTTCCTTTGATGCCCTGGAAACCATCCAACCAGGCAGGCCTAAAATGGCAATGGAATACTATCCGGGATGGTTCGACCACTGGAGCGAGCTTCACCATACCACTCCAGACCTGCTCCTAACAATCAACCTGGAGGAAATCCTCACTTATCCAGGATCTTTCAACATTTACATGTTCCATGGGGGGACAAGTTTCGGGTTTTTAAATGGAGCTAATGTGGCCGACAGTCTTACTGATAATAGCGGATTCCAGCCGGGTAAAATTGCTACCAGGGCTAGTCAGTTGCCTAATGGAGGCCTTTCCAGATACAACCAGCTACGACTATTCAGCCCCTTTAACCGAAGCAGGGAATTACACTAGGAAGTATGCCCTGATAAAGAGTCTGCTCGCAAAATATGCGTATCCTAAAACGCAAATTCCTGCTCCTCCAGAAGTCATTCCCAGAGTGGTTTACCCCAGCATACCAATAAGAGAATACCTTCCTCTAAAGCAGCTAATTGGTAATTGGGGGAATACATCAGTGCCAGGAACGGGCTCGTTGAGATATTGGGTGTTCCAGATTCTCAAAGCTCTGGTTTGGAATACGCAAGCCCACTTCCCATGGAACTGCTCGATATAAACAATGGCTCTGGGCAGAGTTTCGGGTATATCACATATAGGAAAACCCAGCTGAACTTGCCAGCAGGATCAACATTGAAAATCGCGGCTAATATTCGAGATACGCTTCTAGTAGGTTGTGGTTTGGTCAGGAGAGGGCTGGAAAAACTGTGATCATGCGGCTTAGGTGTTGGTGAATGGAGTGCAAATCGCCCCGCCTTTGAAAGCATCCGCAGATCTGGATAATTTTGGATTCTGGAGACAAAGTCCCTCGACTATACAGCTTACAAATGGTTTCCTCCGAAATGCCACTGTTGATTTGGTTGTGGAAAATTGGGGGCGAGTGGGGTATGGAATGATTACACAGTTCTATCAGCACAAAGGTAGGGAAGCCTTTGATTCAAAAAAAGTTCAGTTGGTAATTCAGGACAAATTTCCGTTGGCTAGGATTATGGAACAACACAGTGTCAATAAACAACCATACCATCCAGAACTGGAAGCACATTCCGCTGGAATTCAAAAAGACGTGGACCCAAAAGTTATCAGGATGGCGCCCAATGCAGACCTATAAAAGCCCAGGTCTTTACAGAGGTATAAATAGCTCAAACTTCCTTTGCCTCAAGCCATTTAATCATTCATATTCAACCTTCCAGGCTTTTTAACCATTGACTCTCCACTGGCGGACACTTATGTTGATATGCGCCAATGGACTAAGGGAATTTTGATCATCAACGGCTTTGTTCTTGGACGGTACGCCCGAATCGGCCCTCAGCAGTGCCTCTACTTACCATCCCCACTGCTCCACGTGGGCCGCAACGAAATCATCATTTTTGAACACTACGAAGCCTCTGATAGCATCAGGTTCACTTCGGATCAAATTTGGGAAACCATATAAGTCTCTATTTATTGAAAATAGAATCGAGTTTTAATTAACATAAGTGCCCTTGCCCCAGATGGCATTCTTCGAAAATTTCACATATTCGGGGGCAGTGAAATGCTCGAAAATGATCAGCTCATTTTCGCCTTCTTGCAGCAGCCCTGCGGGCAAATACAGCGCTTGTTG